CTCTTTCTCGTTACTTTTTCGTGGCATACAATACTCGCGAAAGGATGATTACTTACGATTGCACTTTGTATGACACTTTCTTACTAAATCTTATTACAGTGTGATGATACTAATAAAAATATTATACATTTACTATAACATAATAGAATAAAGAAACAAATTAAATCAAAAATAAATATTCGCGGACTTGTTTGAAAATAGTTGCACAGATTATTCGCACATATGTCGATCGAAAAATCTCGTATTTTGACAAATTATATAACAAAGTAAATGTCGAATTTGTGAAATAATATGTATATTAATTAATTAAACGTATCGCGATGCTGTAATCAATCTCTGTCTTGCGATATTTTACCAATCACAAAAATACATGAGAATGATCGCGACTTTTTATTCTGATATCGTGCGATATGATTAGAGTCGAGTTAATGATCAATTAAGAGATGCGTTATGAAACGTCAAAAAATACATCATCGAAATGCAATATTCCGCGAAGTATATACGTAATATATTTCTTAAATGTATACATCCGGAAGACCTATTATTATTATTAAACGAACCTAATTACGGCTTTTCATTACTTCAATCATTCGTGATATTATCACGCGGAAACTTGAAACATATTTATCGCACAAAATGTCTACCAAATAGCCAGCGTCTCGGCATATTTATGAGTCGTTAATCACGGAAATTAATTAATCAACGCTGATTGATAATTTCTAATTGGGACGATTGTAGAGAATAATCGTCGTTTCGAGAGATAGTATACAATGTAGAGTGTTCCTCGACACTGTCTGCTCGTTCGAGTTCTGTTGCTAACAACAAGGTCGCTGTAAGTATAAACAATAGCATGCGAAGGCCACAAAACGAACATATAACATTTAATACATTTGTTTCTTTCCACACGAAATGTTTAATACTACTATACACGCACAGTGAGTGTAAAAAGTATTCGTACACTAGAAATTTTCACAGAATAGCTTTATTCTGTGTAATTATAAATAATAATAAACAAATAATTATTTGTTTACTTTGTTATCATACAGAAATAAACTATATATTTTGCTGAAACTTTCTAGTGTACGAATACTTTTTATACTCACTGTAAATTTATGTGAAAAATATTCTCTTCTTTTAAATTAATTATTAATAACCAATTAATATAATTACTATATCTTTCTTTACTTGATTCTGCATGTATTATACGCGTTCGCAATTCGAATATTATGATCCATAAATGGTTTTTAAATTTAAATCGATGAAAAATGTTCAAAACGAGATTTATCGAACAAAAGCATCTTCAAAGAAATTATGATGATTCGTGAAAATGACAATAAAATAATAATTCGTAATTTCTATCTTTTGTCATTTTGGTTTAGACTTGAAATATAGATTAAATCGTGTGAAATAATTACTTTAACTATTAGTCGTCGCTTTGGCTCACAAATTTTAAATAGATAATAGTTAATATAAAATAGTTAATAGTAATATATAAACTATAAATATAAAAATAGTTAATCACATTTTATTAAAGTTGTAAAGTATAAAAGGCAGATTAAATTTATCCAGTATAAAATTATGATGGTTTGTAAAAATGACAATAAAACAATAATTCGTAATTTCTTCTTTTGTCTTGGTTTAGACTTGAAACGTAGATTAAATTGCGTGAAATAATTGCTTGAACTATTAGTCGTCGCTTTGGTTTACAAATGAATTGATTGATATATTTAATTGTTCATATATTTGTATATAGAATAATCGTATCTAGTAGTACTTGTCGTATTTCGAGAGATAATTCGACACACATACACGGTTCATGTACAGCTCATTCGACTCCCACCGTGTGATAATTAGGCAAATTAACATATTGCGTTTGTACGTAGGTCATGGTAGTTTGGTCATCTGGTCACGTGCGCTCGTTTCTGTCAACACTGTTATATGTATGTTCGCGTATTGTATAGTCTTATGTTACTAGAGAAGATAAACTCTCAAAAAAAAACTCTTCTATAATACAATTATTCTTCACAATCATTTTCTCTCACGATTAACGCATAAGAATATCAAGTTCGAGACGAAAGCTTTTATCAAAATATAGATATTTCTCACGATATAATTATTATGTACCTTTTTACGGACGACGATTATTTTTTTAAATATATTTGGAGTCGAATATATTTTCAATCGCTCTTTCAATTTTTCGTCAATTCAAATACAACATAAATAAATGTGTAATATTTTTTAATCACTAGATAAAGTTGTTTTTTTTTATATAGATTAGAAACTCTGTAAATCGGACTATAATCTTTTCTATTATATATCTTTGCTTGTAGTTTCGCGATAAGTAGCTTACTGTGTACTTTAAAATAAAGTAGCATAGAAAATGAGTTTTAAAACATTATGAATTTCAATGAATCGCAAATGTAAAGTAAATGCGGTGTATTGATGTAAGTGAGTTTTTTCAAGACAGAATTTATATTGGAGAAATAAACGAAATATTTGTAATGTCTAATGATGTTCTTTGCCACGAAAATTAAATGAATGATTGGTGAAAAGTTGCTTTTTATTCATAAATCAATTGTGTTTATTAATTCGATGTTCGTTACATTTTTTAATCCTTTTATAAGAGAAATTTGCATTCACACGCACATTATGTATGTAAGCTAGTGTGCGTGGCAGAGAATATTTCTATCAAACTTGACGTTATTTTATCAAATAAAAAATTCGGTCGAATAATCGATAGTCGAATGTTCGACACCGACTAAATGGTACTCTAGCGAAAGTCGATATTTCACGCGTCCCTTTCTATTATCCTCAGAATGCGTGTTATATTATATCAGTCTACCCCAATGACCTGAGAAGTAGAATCCATCGCTATCGAAAGCAGTTGTTCCGTAGATTCTTCAACAAAAGTATAAACAAAGAAATTTTGGCATTTCAAACATAGACATTTTCGATGAAATCAGTATTTCTATCAATCAAGTCGCAATCAGTTTTTAATTAGATAATTTTTAATTGTGAAAATTATATTTCCATGAGATATTAAGATAGCTATTATTCTTATTTTTTATCATTGTTTAAAACAGCTGCGAACACAGCGAAGTAGCACTCGCTCCGCGACTTCTCACCTTTTATGCATTTTAAATTAATTAGGTTATTTAAGTTTGTATATTTAATTACTTAAATTTTAAGTAAACTAGGCATAATATTAATTTGTTTTTCCCTTTTTATTGGTTTATGCTAATTAATTTGCTATCATTCATTTTTCTGAATTTTAATTTATATTTAATTTTATATTTAATTATATCGCATTAATTTATCGAAATGTTTTTATGTTCGATTTAACTAAAAATATAAGCAAACTTAATATTGTTATTGCCACAATCATCTTTAGCTAAAGGTCGAAATATCGTGGCTGAGCAATTAAGCCAAATTGTATTAGTGGAAGTGATACAAACACAAACAAAAGCCGCGAATAAGTAAACGCCGGCGCTTATTGAATGATATTACTGCCTCTAGCGTTTGCTTTTATAATCATCACACGTGTCATAAATACTCGCAGCTTTGAATGAAAGAACAAAAGTCATGAAAGATAAAGAAAAAAGAAAAACGACAATCAAGCCGATTGATGATATTTTTGACCTTTTTCAAAATGCATTTTGTGTATTGAGACTGTGATGTAATTATTTTTCAAAAATGGTATTAACGAGATCTCAAAAGGAAATTTAAAACAACCGCGAGAATAAAAACGATAAGCGCGCATAATTCGAGGTAGATTGTTGTTGAGTTGCTATTTTAAAAATTCAAGGTAACATTTTATAAAAACAATTTTTTAAATTTGTTTTTATTGCATATTATAGTTTGTGTAAAGCAGATTAATTTTTACTATATAAATTTTTTTAAACTGCCGGAAACGTCTTAAAAATCGTAGTGATTATTACAAGAACTATCTTGTGTATTACATTGTAAAAAATATAGTTTTGTAAAAAATATATTTGTTACTTAATCGCTTTTTGCGAATAATTATTATATTTTTATCTTCCGTAATCTTAATATTTTTTCAAAAAATAATTAATTTCCATGCATTAACTGCAAGTTTTTATTAATAATTTTTAAAATTTGTTTCTGCATTTTCTGTCTTTGTTATATAATACATCTTGTTGTATATACAATATTTTAGTTAGCATCTTCTTTTAAAGCTTTTTATTTGTCTGATTTCCTGAATTTTGCATGAGAAAAAAATGCTAAATTTAAAAGCAATTCATTAATTGTGTATATTTCTTAGTCGAGATGTAATATTATTTTTAAAAGCAAACACGTGTCAAAGAGAGAAATGCTTCTTTTTCACAATTTTTTTTTCGTAATTTTTATTTCACTAAATGACGATTCTGTTTATCATAGTGTGAGAGTATTAAAACATATATACACAAGTACAATATTATTGTCGAAAAAATGCAAAATATTTGAAGATTGCAACGCATATATGATCGTCGAGAGAGGAGATATAATTTTTCGAATCATTTGATTTTCAATAATCTCTAAGCGAATTGGTTACTTTGGTTACGGCTTTCACGAGAATTGATTATCACGAGATCACAAACAATTCTCGATATTGGTCTCTCATACCTGCTTATGTGATATAGGCATGACATTTGACCGCAATCGCGACGATTGGATTAATTGTCTTTGTGATGGCTCTCGCTGTGTCTCGATTGCGGTTTATTCCATCCTCCGCATATCCGATCGTGGATGCTTCTCGTGAATTGGGCGATATAGAGTAGGTATAGCTCACGGGTTAAATTGAAGAAGATTCCAAGAGTCATTGTTCACGATTGACATTCAATTCCATCGGTATCCGATTGTGCGCGCGCGATATTGCAGTTTAATAATTTATATCATGATTCTCTGTATTTTCACACGGCGATCCCTACTACTTTTCTCATCCTCGTGTATCGAAGATACGATGAAATATTAAATATGTTTGGTCCGTTTACTCGTTTCAGAGACTACGAGAGCAGCAATATCTTGGACAATTTGTTATCCCGGATGGAGCAGTACGCCACGAATTTAGAAACATTGGTGGAGGAACGTACGGCAGACTATCTCGAGGAAAAACGTAAATGCGAGGAGCTCCTTTATCAGTTACTACCAAAGTAAGTTGCGCCAAAGGCAAATAACGCAAGAGCTGTCTTAGAAAGAACAAGATTGTCCGTCTTATATACTTACCGTGGGATCCTGCGGAGAATTCATTCCGAGTATACTACACATGTTTGCTACAAGGCAGAAATATTCAAATAGCTGTATTATTCAGATTGAACAAATTTGGCGTAAAAGATACCTGATTTCAAGAGTATTTTAATGTCTAAAGAAAAAGATTTATTTTTTATTATTTTATACATCTGATGTATTATTCAAGTTTTTCTTCCAATATTCAAGCGTTCTTATTGTTAATAATTTCATAAGATTATTTATTTATTAGATTTTGATTTTAATAGTTTGAATAATTAAATTATATTTAGAATCTCAAATTTTGTTATGACCAGCTCGATTGATTTTTTACTTGTTTTCGTGCCAGCGAGTCTGTGGTAGCTCCGCGTTTTTCTCATGTGACTTATTTATTGCGTTTTATCAGTAGAAATATGTTAATTTAACACCGCATGTAAATCAGTCAGACATATATATTGTATATATATATATATACATATATATATATAGAAACGCGCATGAGAGCCTACTTTACAAACATTAAAACGCTAATTACTACGCAGGCAATAATAATCGAGATATTAAATAGCCTTTATATCAAAATACGAAAACAGGGCGCGATGAAAATTAACGGTTGGAGAAATCCCTTCGTGTTGCAAACGGCGTAAAATTGTGTGTGCGATGGAAATGGCTCGAATATAATATCATTTGTTCGGTTCGGTTTGCTCACCCGCGGCGGAGCGCGATCGAACGTTAAAGGTTATCGAAAATTGGTCAACCTTGAAATTGTAATTGATTTGAAAAAAAAAAAAAAATCAGAAAAATAAAGATCCGTAAAACGATGAGGAAACGAACGAAACAATTTTCCGAGAGCGCCGTCGGGAAATATAAGCCGCGGAACTGCGACGAGATTAATTATACGAGAAATTGTGTCGTTTTAATTTATTATATACGTCCAAGACTGCGCGACGGCGCTAGGGCGACGCAAAACGCAAGGAAGCCTCGAGAAATACATAATTTGTTAACCCGATGCAAGTGGCATGTCATCGGCATAATTATTATAGGGGGTCATGGCGTAATACAACACACTGGCTTTTCCATTTTCTTGTTACGTATGAACGCGACGGTCGATCGAGTATATCGTGATATCGATGCGAACGTATATAAAAGCATTTTTCTTTCAACATTTCCCTGATTTTTCTTCAAACGAGAGCGAATATACGCGCGACCGAAAGAGGCTTTACTCGCTTTTTAAACGAGAACATCTAGCTTTACGGTGTGTGCGCGGTTAAACATACTCTGTGTAACTTCTTGCGAGCAAGTGGATACGAAACCTTAATGAACTTTACGAAGATAAAAGGAACGCGCGAGGAAATTTTGTTGAGAGCTTCAGAAACTTTATCATCGCTCGTCCCTCGTGAGTGATAACTCTTTTGTCGTGTGCCAGTAATATAGTTAGCGAGCCATCTCTTGTCACGTTTAATCGATATTACATCATGATACATCATTGTGTCGCACAAATCGATTTTTGCAAAATGATTCAAATTTTGCCTTGATATGATTAATATAACTGCATTTCTTATGCACTTTGATGCAATGAATTTTTTTTATTGACAGAACTTTAGAACTAAGGTCTATATTAATATTGTGAAACAAAACCGTGTTAAATTCATTTGTGTTATATTATATCGTAAAGGTATGAAATTCTCATTAATTTCCATTAATCTCCGTTTTCATTTTTTTTTCATCTGGTCAAAGAAAAGAGTATATATACCAATTAAAACTTTTTCCACGTTTTAAATCTCAAATCTAACAGGAATACGCGCGGGAATCACTAATCTCGCGCTCGGACATTTTTTAATTAACTTCTGAAAACCCAGTTTTATATATCGTGTGTTAAAACCATGGTGTGTTAAAAATCAATTTTTCGTAAAAAAAGTTGCTTGCAAGAGAAAATTTATTTTTCCTATATTATTAAAAAAAAACCAAAGAAAACATATGAATACGAATTTGATGATCAAAATTGAAATGACCAGAGTGCTATAGAAATCCGACTCATTTTGTCGTATTATCTTCCTTGAATTAATCTATTATCCCTTCGACTCTTTTCTTTTTACCGCCGTCTGTGAAAGACACGTGTTTGTTCTGCTCGCAGATCAGTGGCGTCGCAACTGATCCTCGGACAAAGCGTAATCGCCGAGACATACGACCAAGTGACAATCTACTTTAGCGACATCGTGGGCTTCACGAGTCTGTCAGCTGAGAGCACGCCCCTGCAGGTGGTCGATCTGCTGAACGACCTTTATACGTGTTTCGACTCGATTATCGAGAACTTTGATGTCTACAAGGTGAGTAGTATTGACCCGCTTTCAACCGTATCCGTAGCGAAACGACTCGACCCTTGGCCGAAGGGATGAATAATTTAAACGGGGAAGAGAAAGGATGATGAAGCACGCTATTACTCGTGAAATCGCTGAGATAAACTTTCCTCCGTTCATTTTCGCGCGCGAAATGAGAGATATCGCCGATATTCGCGCGATAGCACGTGACGTACTGCTCGCAATATCCAAGTTCTTCCGGCTTCCTAGTTTTATCGGACTCGACAGAGTTCATCGTTTCGACAAGTTTTTCCGTTTACAAGTGAAGGAGTCTGACTTCTTCAATTAGGAAACTTGTGCTCCGACCGGGTCCTCTCTCATTTTCTCCCGGTCGCTTTTTTCTCCGCATTTTTTCCCCCGGCAATTTCTCCAAGCTAAATGATCATCCCGTATAATCTATCTCAGCTCAGCCGACACGCCGTACTTCTCATTGAAATGAAGTCTGAGAAATCTTGATTCTATATATAAAGTACTTCACGTGGCGTTATTTGGAGCCTATCGTGATATTCGATATTTTAAGGCTAACGCAAATAAGACCGAGATAAACATGATAATTCCAAAGACCAAATTACCCTTGATTTTTGACGAGAGTGATTTTCTGTGAAAAGAACGGGATTACCGTGCGTGGAGCTGACTTTTTCTACTACTGATGAAATATTTATGTGCCGTTGCGATTGTAAAAGATTAGAACGATGGAAGAGGTATCGTGTAAAAATTTGCTATTAATATTGCGAGCGAGAGAAAATTATTTAATTGATTAGATCAGAATAAGTGTGTTAATCGAGTTCAAAAGTAGGTACGTATTTTTAATTTATGAAAAAGTGCCAGTGTCTTAGTTTCAGAGAACGTTGTTATAATTTTACAGCACCCTTTTTTTTTCTAAAAAGCACCCCTCGATGAAGTACGGGGTGGCCGTATGATTATCGTGACTATATATATATTCTTCTGTAGCAGCTTTTACTGAACTTTATTACTTTTTTTTAATTACAGATTAAACAAACTTTTTTTTTAATTTTCAAGACTTTTTTAATTATGTTGAAATGTAAGAGTTTTTTTAAGCTAGATAAATAAAATGGTTCTTGTTTATTTGTCTATAGTATTCTTGTATGTTCTGTTCCGTTTTACTTTTACATTTAATTTCACTTTAATCCATTTATCTCATTTCGATATCATAAACTTTTTAAGATCTTAGTGTTTTTCTTGTTTTATATATATAAACGCCGGTTAGAGAGTAAAAGAAAAACCTCAATTTTGCAGACTTTTCTCATCTTTAAAATTTTTTTCTATTTAATCTATTTAATCCGAACGAAAAATATAGTAGATAGAAATAATAAATATAAATATTTTACATTTCTATATAAAATAGATGTTTTATTCAATTTATTTAAAAATATTTAAAAATTTTAAAAGAAAACTTTTAAACTAAAATGTTCTCTCTGTTTTCTCTACGTTCATACATATACGTTTTCTCTTGAAATATTAAATTTTGTATCAAGGCAAAGTTTCTCTATTCTGTTTCAGGTGGAAACGATAGGGGATGCTTATATGGTTGTATCGGGATTACCAGTAAGAAACGGCATGAATCACGCCAGAGAGATCGCAAGGATGAGTTTAGCTCTCAGGGATACGGTAATGACATTCAGTATTCGTCACAGGCCAAACGAGCAATTGAAGCTTCGCATTGGTATGCATTCTGGTAAGTCAACACTTTATCATACATTTCTCTCTGCTCACGCAAAGCGGAAGAAGATTAGTCCCAAGATGATCCTAGGCTTTATGCCAATATTGGATCTTTGGTACGACTTATATACAGCTTATAGTTTATAATGTGTTCTCGAAAGTTTCCTAACTTCAATTTTAATGACAGATCAAAAGTTTTACACAACAGCTTGCATTATTATTTGTTTTCGAGGACACACAAAATTTTTCTTTTGTACTCTGTTACTGTAGTTTATGAATTCTTTCTCGTTATATGTCAGAAATATTTCCAATACACTTTAATGGACGGCGTTATAAATCGAGCGTTTTCGCTTTTTATTACAAATCGATTTTCGCTTGCATGTAACGAAGCTTGGAGCGCGATCTACAGAGATTGATATCACGCGAGTAGTATGAATTAAATAAAAAAAAAAAAAAAAAAAAAAAACGCGGCCCGATATTTCGAAATAACTTTAACGGAATTTTTTTCTCTCGAATTTATTTCCATCGTTCATTGCAAACAATATGATGTGATTGAAGCTGATGTGCAAATGAATTTGTCGAAAAGTCGACAGTTATACAAACTGTATAAATGAATGATTGTATTTCCCAATAAACAACATCATTGGGTTTTTCAAATTCCATTTTTATTCATTTTTAAATTCACGGCATGAGTGACTCGTGAGAATTCACCCTCGGACCATTACGTGACGAGAATCTCTATTTCTTAGACACTATCTAATCTCATCTTCCTGTAAAATTTTTCTCGATGAAATCGCGTCGTGCGAATGTCACCTCGTTTCCGAAACAACATCCAGTTTGTGTGGAACTTAGATTACGCTGTGTTCCCATGAGAAGAAGCGATTTCTGTATGATTTATGTCAGGCGGTTAGCTGTAATTGGCGAAGTTAATTGCTTTTTAAATGGACTCAAAATGCAACGTTGCTTTCGTATCGCCTGGCGAACAAGCATTCCAGAACGTAATTGCTTGTTAATTTTTTTTCGATGCTCAATAAATGTGACGAATTAATCTTTTTGTTGTTAGCGAAAAACAATATAAAAATTACTTTTTCAAAGTTATACTAATGATACAAGACGCTTAACACTTAAAATAAACTTTTACAAAGTTTTATCTTCAAAAAGTTCTGAAGGATTAAACTTTGTCTTAAATGGCTAAGACTTACTTACGAGACAAGAATTTTGTCAGACATTTATCTATATTTTTTTTTTTCTAAATTGCCTGTCTGTTGTCCTAATGCGATGTCGGAAATAAAATTGGTGTATAGGGTCGTAATTAGTGGTGGGTCGTACACACGTTTGCTTACAGGACCATGCGTGGCCGGTGTGGTTGGTCTTAAGATGCCTAGATACTGCCTCTTCGGTGACACTGTCAATACAGCTTCTAGGATGGAGAGTAACGGAGAAGGTAATTAACAGCTCAGTCATTCTCGGAAAGGGATGCTGAGGGTTGTAACAGGGGAAACGTGAAGGTACAAAGTTACAGATGCGCGCGGTAATTAAAGGGAAGAAGTAAAGGTGCGGCGACGCACGAGAGCAAGGTCGTCGCTTAAGAGAAAATCGACCCTGGTTCAAGTATTTCCATAGAGATACGACCTCGTGGTTACCTCATTTTCAACGTAAACTATAAGTATTGATTAGCCATATAATCACATGCTAATCTTTCCGGCAGAGATTCATGTGTAATCATTCAAGATGTACCTTCGATATTTCAGTATATTCGATAATTAGAAGTCTGGATATAACGTGCGAATTATTTTTATCTCTGTATCTGGCTTAAAATGATGATCGTTCGACAATTTCGAGTCCTTTTTTTCAATCGGATAGACACCGATGATTTCGATCGCTGCTTGACACGGTGAAATTGATTGCAGGCTAAATCTTGTTTATCGACGCGCTTATGAGACATGCACGAGTATATGGTGTATCGCTTAATGCCGCGTGGGCGGTGGTTCTCCCTTGCAAGGACCTCTAGGTGCCGGCGTCGAGGCAAGGACGCACCGCAAGGCGCCACGCGGCTGTTTATCGAGTTTCTTCATATAGCACGTTTTGTGTGCGTCGTGAGAATTATACCACGCACGTTAAAGAGAGTTTCCGGACGATAGGTTGCATAACGACGCGTTTCACCATTTTTCTCTCTCTTTTTTTCTGGTTTTTGTGTTTGTTTTTTTTTTTTTTTTTTTGTAAGCGTATGTGCGGTCGTCGAACGCGCGTTCAAGCACGGAGTGAACGTGACGATTTTTCAGGCAGCGTGTATTATCGTGTTTTACACAAACAAAAAGGGATTATTCGATTACAACTATAGCTGTCTCGCGAAAATACGGATTTTAATACCATCGATCGATCGATTTTTTAATCGAAATATAAAGAGATTGATTAACTTTTAAATTATGAAAGATTGAAAGGAATTGCTGAGAATGAAAAGTATTTAAATAATATATCTTAATTTTATCGTTTATTTTGTTTTCTTTATAAAGGGAGTTAAATAAATTTTTTTCAAGATTAAGAGTTTTGAAAAGCAATTACAAATAATACTTTATTCTCTCTCTCTCTCTCTCGATTCACTTTAATCGTATTCTTAATTTGAGTTTTAATTTTATTTTTTAAGGCTCTAATACAGAGTGATTTAATACCATCTGTGTTCAACTAGTCTAAACTTTACTTACGCATAAATCCAGTTTAAAATTTAAAAGCAAGGTTGTATGTAAAATATAGATGTGTGTGTGTTTGTTAGGGCTTTTGCACACATAATATGAGGATTTAAGTTATAAACTCTGTAAATGTCACATTTCTAGAAAGTCATTTTTGTAAAACCCATGTATATTAAAACAGAAGCTAACATAGCTTTAAAACGGTCCTTACTTATGAGAACATTTAATGAGAAAAACATAAATAACATTTTCTTTACGTATATTCTTTTAAATAAATCTTTTATTATTTTTCAGAGGTTTTTAATGCTAACATTTCATATGTCAAATCTCCATCAAATAAGTATTATTGATATGTTAAATTGATTATATTGATTGATTATAGAGCAACATGTCGTTTGTCCAAGCACAATATATCGCTGCTGAATATGCGTACTTAATCAATTATCGTTTCATTTATGCAGCACGGAATATTTATTATGCAAAATAATTGACATTACATCGCATAATTGTAATTCGCTGTAATGAAGTTACGTAACTGATTTAAAATAAAATCTTTAGAGCGCGGTATCGATCGTCGCGCGGCCACGCTATATTCTCTCTTTTTTTCCCGTGGAAAACGCAATCAGGTTGCTCTAGAAATAGGGGAGATCATACGAAAATTACGTATATCGGATTAGCATATTTACGATCGCTCGCGCTCTGGCCGTCGGCTCTGTAATCGAACTTGCGCATACAGTCACTGACGACGGAAGTTCCGATCAGCGTGCACATAACTTTATTATCGCTTTAAATTTCATTAAAAGTTCTCTTCTATCAACTAGCTCGAGAAAGCGCGATAGTGCCGATTTATTTATTTATTTAGTTAGGTTGTTCGCAATCAGATCAATTTGTATTTCTCGCATTCTTTACCCTAATAACACCTTGTAATTAACAATCTTGAGATTTGGAGAACATTTTTCTCATTTCGTTTGTACGTTATTTTTATCAAAAAATATTTAACAAATATTTGAAAATTAGATAACTTTTATTCAAGTTTCTCTTTTTAACAAACAATTTATCTGTTTCTTTTAAGTTTCAGATTAATTTACTCATTAGTATGTTTGTTGCATATATATATATATATATATATATATATATATATATATATATGTACACATATAGGGAAAGAAAGAGAATTTAATACACAATTTTATAGAAATCATAAAAAGGCTAATCATAAAAATCGCTACATAAGACATAAAAGGTATGAAAAATCTGTAGCGATTTTTTTTAAATTTTTATGGACGGACTTTTATATATTCCTTGTTTTCGCTGGAAAGGAAATTGACAATGTCGAGCTTGAGTTTCATGAGTAATCATGATCTTTGATCTTTACCATATAAAAAGTTTGCAAGCGAAACTGTTGACGACAACAGCAAGTTAATTGGTAGTCAAGGCATTAAAGTATATAAAGTTTATATGATCAAAGAATTTTAAATTTTCTCTTCTCGCCTTAACGCGTCGACTGTTCGTCGACGCGTCAAAATAAATCTTGTAGTCCTGCCAGTCCTACAAAGGTCACGTCGGACCGCAAAATTAATGAAGGAATCATAATGTGACAGCTCAACTTCGTCATTCAAAACGCAAAGTGACATTTCGCGCATCTCTTCATTGCATAATTATTAAAAATTGCATAGTCTTTCCGAATAATGAATAATTTGTTTTGCTTTCTGCGCTCTCTCTCTGTGAAGGGAAAAACCTTCTATATTTTCTCACAATTACTCATTTTTTTTGCGCATAGAACTTTTTGTGAATTTGCAATATGCTTTTAATCTTTGAAATTTAGATGAACGTTATTTCTCGTGGAATAGATTTTGACGGTTTGTTTGTAAATGCGTGTTTCTTAAGGAATTAATTTACATTAAAAATTAAGGGTAAGTTAAAAGTAAAGCATTATTATAATAATTTTTTTAGAACATTTGTTCTCAGAAAAGAAAGCTCTTGAATCTTTTATAATTTGATAATCACATTAAATATACATTTGACATATTGATTATAAGTAGAATAAATCTTAAAAAATGTCATTGAAATTAAAATAGACGTTTCTGAAACATTCTGCAGTTGTCATCTAGTAACGTAGAAAATGACGTAACAGCGGGACAACTGCGTGAGCATCAAATGTATATACATAGAACTCGCGTTATTGTGCGATTGTCCTGTTGAAACTACATAGGTATATCCAGCCGCCTACAGAGTGCACTATCGCCAGAAGTGATCGGTTCAAAGCTTATTCGCGTTACTTTGAAAAGTTGCCTTGAACACGAATTTCAAACTGACGAAATTTATTTTTTTTTTGTTTTTTATTCTAATGCTTGCCAGTTGTCAAACGTCACGTTTCAGTATTTGAAGCGATCCACGGAAAAAAGGGCAAGTGCAGGCTTGCATCGAAATTGGATGGATCTGAATAAGTCAGTGTTTACGGAAATTCGAATATCGAAAAATATAATATTCTTTAATCAAAAATCAAATATAATGATTTAAGGTGAAAAATTGTTACACAGTATCTTGCAAAACTATTGTTATCTATGTATTTTTAAATTGACTTTATTTCCCGTAACAATAAGTAGTCCTTTAATGTCAAAGGGGAACGTTCCAATTAGCGTTATAAGAGGATTACAGAGGACGTGTGTATAAAAGAAACTGTATTTTCCTTTCTCTGCAATAGCTTTAAAGATCCACGTCAGCCCGAAGACAAAGGAAATCCTGGACACTTTTGGCACATTCGAGCTCGAGTGCAGGGGAGAGGTTGTATTAAAGGTACGTTTTCGGTCGATATTGTGGATTTTTCTCAATTTCCTTAAGGTCCACGTTATGTATCTACTTGCTCGACTTCTTATCTCGCAAAGCCAACCCCTCGTTCCCTCCTTTGGGGACGAGCGAGACTCTTCTTCGGAAGCTGCGCGAGTCGTAGTCGAGATAAAACGCGTCGAGCGGGATTGTCAAGTGGTCTCTCTCGTGCCGCAAACGTCAGAGTGGCGGCGACGCGACGGGAGAGTCGAAGGGTGGCTTTCGTGATTGGCATTTCGCGGTGGAAAGATGGATCCCGGTGATTATTGCGCGAGCGCCCGATCTTCTCTCGCGTCAGATATATACAATATTTTTGCATGAATTTTTTGCCTCCACAGCCGAGCGCGAAAGTCGAGTGGAATAAGTATAAGTACGCGCGATGCTCTTCATATTCCATTAATTTAATGACGGATACATTTGTATATTCAGAGTATTGAGATGTCTCCGAGCACTTGGTTATACCGCGGCTGTTTCAAAAATCTCTCTCTAATTAATTTCGCGTTTCATAATTATATTAAATAAAAATTCTCTATTTTACATTATATATTGTATGTGTTTATTTAGCGTTGTTATAAGTTTTCGTAGAAGCAGCATTTCGAAGAGAGCGTCTGTATTTGTCTAATTATGTAAATATTTGCACCTTTTGACAGTTTTAAAGTTCTCTTTCATAAAGTTCGTCGAATGTAATGTAAGCACCACTCTTTCGACGAGGGACTCGACTTTCCTAACTTTGGCAATCGTGATCTCCCCAGAGTGAGGAATTGTAAATCGCGCAATTGCAAACTGTGCCCGCGGTGCGGTTGCTCGTTTCACATATATACGTGATGCGGTTTCTCGCGTGCATATGCGCGGTGTATACTATTCACAGATGCTTGTATGCCGTACAATCATATACGTACATATACATATCGCGCAAACACCGCACCGTTGTCCGCAGGTGCAATCAGTCTCTCCGTTTTCCCGGAAGAGTGTAATTCGCATAAACGCGCAAACCGACGGCAAATTATTTCGGCATCGCCGAAATTGCATCCACCGTCGCAATAAAGTGGATAATACGATAAACATATAATGGCCTTCAGACGAATGCGACTAATATCTACGCTGAATCGCGGACGATTCTCGTTAATCTTCACGTATATATAGACCGGTGTTAAATACAGCTATTACGCGAGTCGAGAATTATGCGATTGGTTTGTGCTTACTCGGTCGCGCGACCGTGAAACCGTCGTCGTGTCGCTTGTCGTTAGACGATCGATTAAATATATCTGCTTGAGTGCAGACCCTGATGATGGCAGACGGAGGCACGATTGAATCGTTTACCGTGCAATTCGGGTCAAAGTTCAGCGCTCGCGAGCGAGGGTGAGAATGGCAGCAGCGTGCAGGTATGATAATTAATGAGCGAGGGAGAAGCGCCGGGAGAAACTTGGCTCGGCAATTCGCGCGTGTACGTACTATATCGAGCTTGCCTGCCGGGATTAAAATTCAAGTGCCACGTACCATCGGACAATATACGTTGCCGCTTGTTTGAATATTCACGAGCGTAACTGAGTTAAACGCATTCGCTGATCGCCATCGCGTAACGAAGCGACACAATAGTTCTGTTACATTGAACTCTGCCGCAGGATGACCTTAATTAAATTCTTTAGAACTATGTATATTGATTTTTCACGCGCTATGATTTTTAACCTTCAACTATGGCCACTGCAACTTTATCATTTATATCTTTTAAAGTATCAATATCATTAATTAGTAAGAACGTGGATATTTGAGAATCGCCAGACAGAATTTAAAAAAGGTAAAATTCTTCTCTCGACCGTACTGGCAAATATTATTTATTCAATCACAACGTTTCGACCCTTCTTTGAGTCCTTATCAAGCGATTTGTAAAAATGTATTTTTATTTTTTTATTGTATTTTTATTTTTACAAATTACTTGATAAGGACTCAAAGAAGGGTCGAAACGTTGTGATTGAATAAATAATATTTTTCAGTACGGTCGAGAGAAGAATTTTACCTTTTTTTTTTATCATTAATTAGTTTTTTATATTATCTATCTCTTCGCATAGGAATCGAGTAAGGTCAGGATCGTGCGAAATCTCGAAATAATCCTTCGTTTTTGCCAACCTCCACAGGGTAAAGGTCCCATGACTACTTACTGGTTAAGGGGCGAGAAACCAACGAACAACAATGTGCAACAGGCGAATCCCACGACGACACTCGGACAGATATCGACCCTGCAGGATCAACCTCCTGCCGTCACCGCGCAAATCCAGATGACACAGCCCAAGCAATTGGAGCAACGCGCGCTTCCGTCCACCGGTCAGCAGCACAAATTTCAAGGTCAGTCGGATCAGCAGCAACAATCGATTCAGTCGAGGAGTCAGGAGTCGCGACCGCAGGGTCAGCAGAGGCCGCAAGAGTCGCGGGGCCAAGGACCGGTCCAGACCAATCCGTCGTCCGTCGCTCCGAATCAGATTCAGCAGAAAACCGCAATGGCCATGAATCCCGCTTGCGGTCTCGCCATGACGGGGAACGGCGCGCCGAAATCGACGATCGCGTCGCGGACCGTCGACTTCGTCGGCAACTCCTCGCCGTCTCGCAACCGCTCGAGCAGCTCGTCGAGCGCGAACAATTCCGTGCACCAGGTCTACCCGACGGCCGAGAGTATGCCGAATCACACCGAGAGCGGTCCCAACGCGCCGCTTCTTCTACCCGCGGGCGCGATTCCCAGGGTCTAGCTCTCTTAAAATCACGTCCGTCATTTATCCGATACCTGGACATGTCGATGGGAATTTTGTTCGAGCGTTACTCGTGAGAAAGAATTAGACGAGAGCATATACGGATTTGTAAGAGAATCAAAACGAAAGACTCTTAAGGCGATCAAGACTCAGCTTCTGCGATTCAAGAATTAGATCTCTTACGTTAACTTGCAAAGTCAATTTTGTGGTTTTCTCAAGAGTATTTATTGAATTGAAATTTTAATTCATTAATTGGTGGAACATTTGCTTTCGACACATTTTATTCGCGTTGTTAATAATAGATGTAGCTGACAAGGCGAGGCTCTATACAGAGTCGAGGACCAACTTTAAATTCGCAGAAAGTGATCTCTTTCTACAAGGTATTATGGAACCAACCTTTACCGATAACGATTAGCACAATTTAGGACAAATATGAGTGTCGCGACGATGGTTGTCATATCGTATGTAAGGATGGACAGCGAGAACTCGGATTTGAAGAAGGAACAATTAATTATAGAAGGATACACGATCGACGATACGCTTTTACCGAAGGTACTTATGATCTCTTGCATATGAAAACACAATATTATTACCGGTCACGTACCGGTGCGTTTTATTTATTCAAACCGAAACGAACATTCGACATAATACGATGCATATGCAACGGCATGTAAAATGCAACGGACTTAATTTAATGGCAATTTTTTCGTGTTATAGTCGCGACTGATACCCGCCGATCTCTATACGCCGAATTAAATTAAAGTATACGGACTTTACATACGCTACTCTATAAATTCTCTTTTCCTTTAAGCATTTCGAGAACACGGTTTTCCAATTTCGATTATTCTAATTATCAAACTTTTTTATATCACATTATTACAATTATTTAAAATGGGATAAAAATAATTGGAATTTATCAATGTGGGCTCGAGATTGATCAAAAACGGTGGGCTAAATTTTCATCTTATCTATACGTATACCTTTTTTCATAATGTATATTTTTCTATTTTTTTTCTGTTGAGATATTTTCGCCCTTTTTCGAAATTCGTCTACGATCGCGAATCACGAACAAACATCACGAGATCAGCCGTAGTGTGTGTTTGTCGTTGCATGCTGAATATAACAAACATTACTATTCATAATGCGCGCGTGCTTACAGAGCGCAACACGACATAGCACACATACAAACACACACACACACACACATATATGCAAAGTGTTATATATAAATATATATAAGAGAGAAAAAGAGATATATATGTATACACACAGAGATACATGTGTATGTTACGAGATTAGATTATATATATATATATAGATGTATATGGTTGCAAGAAAGCAAAAAGTTACCAGTAGCTAACGTCGATGTTTAGAGCCGCTCGTAGCGAACGGAGGCTGGGCCTCTCGCTTAAACGAGTCTATGGCGTGTCTGAGAAATAATACCGCGAGGGTGCGAGTGCATATATCTGCATACAACATATTGGAGAGAGAGAGAGAGGGAGAGAGCAGATATATGCACATGCGGTCGCAGTTGCATGTGTTTAATGTATGGACGAACGGTGCAGGTGATTGACGATTTTTCGCGGTTGCCCTATTGTAAACATGGTATGTGGCGACACGACGAGAGAGAAAGAGAATATGCATTCTCGTTCGCGAGTGCGATGCATCGTAAAGAGTGAAATTCTATCTGTGTCAATCTCTCTTTTAACGATGTACCAATGAATATTCCAAAAATAAAGTTTAATCGTTTTCAAAAAAAACTGTCTGACTAACTCGGCCCCTCCGTGTAACTTATTAACGTCACGCGCACGCGTCTTATTTTTATGCAGCTATGCTGCATTGTGATCGAAAGGAGAAAAAAATGGTTTCATTAGACAGTTTTTATTGGACACGTCGTACATAAAAATGCGCGATAAAAATCTTTAGATATGTATGTATGTGTAAAGGTAAAAAAAATCTTTGGTTCACACGCGAGAGCAGCGGATGACAGGGGAGAGAGAGCTGGTGACATTCACGTGACATTCAAAATACGGTATTCGCGAATATCCAATCGAGGTAAGAGCTCACGCGGGTGTATATCCCCGGGAATCCAGGTTCGCCGCAACGGATTCCCCAGGACACTATCCCGATGTTGACCCACCTGCCGTTGCCGAGTTGATGTAGCAACGGGCCGCCGGAGTCACCCTGGAAGAAGAGACTTATTGGACTCTGGGATAATGTATATACATTATGTATGTAATAGATCCATTTTTTAAGACGCATCCATCTTATGTATGAGCTATCTTAAAATATTAACGGATCTGCTTTCCCGAGAGATGCGCCGTATCCATTAAGGATAAAGACTTTCGGATTAATGCACTGTTTAAACATTTCATCATCTTCGCGCGTTCGTCGCTTTACTTGTAGTGAATAAATCATCGTCTCACTTGACAGGCGTCACGACCACCCTCATAAGCGCCGGCGCACAGGGTAGTGTTCGAGATATGCTGCGTGAAGCTGCGGACGCATCTTTCCTGAGGCCATACCGGTATTGCGACTTCCATTAACACTGTACTGGCAGGTCCTCCGTAATATTGCGTGCCCCACCCTAGCAAAAATTTCAAGTAAAAGTTACAAGAATGTACATTTTACTTTCTTCTGAGTATCTCATTATTTACACAAGATGAGTCGTGAAAAGGGAGATGTGATTTCTTTTCGTGCAAAATTAAGTGGAAAATACAGAAGAATATTTTTCCTGATTTTATTTTCCAGAAACTTGGCTTTGCAAAAAAAATTACCTCTTTTATTATGCAAGTTTTGCGTCTAATATTTATAGTTTACAGATTTAAAAAGAAACATTCACCGAGTGATAGAAAGAATGAATGAAGAAATTTAAATAGAAAAAAAAATAAATAGTGCATAAGAAATAATATATAATATATTTGTGAGATTTCTCCGACCTGTGACGATGGCATTTTTATTCTCGAACGATTGTTGAATGGGAGGAAGACAGATGGGCCAGATGTAGCTGTTAAACGCGGTGGGTCGATTGATCTTAATAATTGCGATGTCGTTGTCGTAAGTGGATAACTTGAAATCCCTGTGTATTCGTATCTCCGAAACCGTGAAATCCAACGCACGCGTCTCCTCGGGCTGACTGAAATCGTACTCGCCGAGTCTCACCGTGATGTCACGCGGTTTGTACCTAAAAGAACGACACACGCGAAATAACTGTAGTTCGCATAACCGTTCATTTCATGGTTATACGACAAACGGATGCCGAGTGTATATATTAAACGTTAGAGTCTCAGAACAAAAGGCATAAGTGTGCTGGCACGCTAAAAGCATTATAAAGTCTAAGCGCGATCACCGCCAGACACCGGGGCCGCAAGAATATGAATGTCTTATGCTTGAAATATCGTCCGAGTTGTAATCGTCGTTTGAACTTTGAGGTGCAAGAACGCACCTTAAAATGCCTTGCAGCGAAAGTTTTAGTTTTATTTTCATTGTCATTTTTTTTTTTCAAAATTTTATAATTTGAACTTAATTTTATGATAACATAAAGAAAGTTTATATATATTTTATATATTTTTATTATATATATATATATTTTTATATATATATTTATATATGATTTTATATATTTATATATTATATTTTATTTATATATATTTTATACTTTAAGTTGATAACTTTTCAATTCAAAATTTTAATTCGGTTAAATTTTTATTTGAAATACTTTTACAGGCGTTTTGCGTGCTAAAGGGTTATGAAATGAAAGATAGTAGTTTACCTGTAAACACAGTGCGCCGCGGTAAGAACATGTCTATCGGTGATCAGTACACCTCCGCAATATTGAATCGCGCCTTGTCGGAGAAGAGCCGCCATCCACGGCCACTCTTTAGGATCAGCCGGCTGACCACCCGCTATTCTGATCTTCATTTTCGTGGTCGTGCCGCAACCTCTGGGTCTTCGTGGTTTTCTCGTCGCTGCTTTAATATCGTCCGAAGTCGCGTTTTTCCGCGAAATTGCGTCCTTGTCGTCGGCAGATGGTCCATTCTCGTCCTCATTTTCATCCCACTCTTCCTTGTCGTCGTCGAGATCTGTGGGAAAAATAAAAGTATTCAAGTATATACTTTCACACACATACGCAAGCACGCTATCGTGAACGTTGACAAGTAGTTTAATCGAGAAGATGTATGTATGTAGCGTTAATTTAAGATACATTTACATAATCGATAAAGGCATCTGTCGCGAGTAAATCTGGGAAATGGACCTCATGATCGTGTTATTCAATTTCAAGAAAATTATTTTTCTATTACTGTCTTTTCAGATAAATTTTCCACGCAATTACCAATGAATAAATTAGTAGTTACAATAATTGTGGCATTAAAATACGAACTTGCTATCGCTGGTAACACGCTGGCTAGATCATCTTGGAACGTTTTATCCGACCGGGCTGTCACGACACTATCCGGGCAACATACACCGATGTACCTACGACGAAGAAAATATTTACGCAAAAATGATTAACGCGTAATATACAATATTAGCTTACGTCTGTTCAATTATGCACATATAATCCATAAATCGTGCAAAGTTCAAGCGGAATTCCTCAAGCTCACATCCGCTAAAATGTTTGCAGTGACCGCTTTGATTGCCCGGTGCGACGCAAGCTTGATATGATTTCTAAGACAAAAATTAATTAATATTATTATGAAATATATATATATATATATTCTCTCTTTTCTGAGTTTATAAATAAACCGCGATTATAAATAAATTACTGCGATAACACACCTGTTTACTTAAAGTTCCGGGACCTAGATTGATAAACCGTTTGTCGCGAAAGTACGGATGGGAAATGTTTTCCGGGAATTGGAACAGGTTCTGATGCTGAGGATGCGTCTGCCATTCCCGGTTCCCCACTATCGCCGGATCTGAGAAATATGAAATACATCATATGCATCGATGAACACGTTTGCGTCGCTGCATGCGTGCGTGTACGTGTGAATACGTGGTTTGATATGCCAAATTTAATGAGGACCACCGAGGATAGAGCGTCCGGCAGATATAATTATCAGTATAACGCGATTCGGTTATTTCCGTCGAAAGAATACGCTTTCTAAGTTTTTCTGAACGCAAAATGGATTTCGATTTGCCATTCAACCGCGAGTTGCAATAACAATGTTTTCTATTACGCTTGTTTGCAGTAATATATTTGCATTTAATGCATATCTGAAAAATGTTGCAAGAAGTGCATACATTAATCACCGATTTTATAGATATTGCAGAGTGCATTATTATTACACATGTTATAGTTTATAAAAAAATATCACTGATATTTCTCTCTTTATTTTAATGAAGATCCTGTATTACATCCACGTAGAAACAATATTTTTCCTCGATTGTTACGTTACTATTTGCATATTTATGTTATACAAGAAATACTCCTTAATTTGAAGTTTAAACTCGAACATGAAATTTATTCTCAATGCATATTTTCATTTGCATTAAAAAGAAAAACTAAGATATTGCATTTAATATACAATAATGTTTACCTGTAGCACTTTTGAAATCGGTAAGAAGACATCGGCAACATTGAAGGATGCACAATAAAGATAAGAGTAGCACAAATTGATAGATATTAGTAAACGTCCGCATTTAAATTAGTGTCGAGTCTTCTTGAAGAACAATGAGAGAAGAACAGAAACGCGACGGCGGCTTTTTAGACAGCCTCGACTGGAGAACGGACAATGACTTTGAAATACAGAAAACCGTCACTTATATATATATATACACGCCTGCGATATATGAAACCCAGCACACTCTTCTTCAAACTGAATTGCCTTCCACGAGGCGTTCGAAGAACGGATCTCACGGAAATATTTGCTGGAACGAAGGGAAATGATGATATCGGTATTATAATATCTTCGTGATTATTTAGGACGTAATAAGTTAATTATTTAATTATTTGCACTCTAATATATCTATTAAAAATATAATTTTTATTTATGATATTTATTAAGATAAAATAGAGAGAGAGAGAAAATTACAATTTAAAAACTTCAAAAATTCCAATAAGTACTTATTAAATTAATGACATTTAATTAAAATTTGTTTGCAATAATCGAGCGATATTTCTCACTCGTTTTAATATTTGCTGTGCCAAATTACTAAAAGTAATGCGTTGTGTCGTTTTATCGATTCGACACCATTTTCGGCTCCGACGATTCAATAAACCCATTACGTTAATGCGGTCTAATTGTCACCAAGAGTATAAGGTCGCGGATCCAAAATTATTTCGGGGAAGCGTAGAGGAAGAAAAAAGGGCAGAAATTACACGTGACCTATCCGAACAAAGATTAATTCATGCGAATATCCCGGTGCATATACTTGTCGAAGCGACGAGTAATGGACGGCCGGTAACTCGAGAAATATTCGATTCCGTTTGACGTTTCATTAAACGCTCAATAACGCAAGCCTCGAGAGCCGAAGAAGGAAAGCGAGGTCTGAAGAACACGATGTGGAAGGAACGCGAACGAGGCGTGGATAAACGCAAGAAGGGAGCGAGAGAGGAAAAAAAAAAAAAAACAAGGTTCTTTCTTTCTCTCTTCGCCGAGAAGTCGACAGATAAAATTCAGTGATCTTCCATCTTCGTTTCTACATATAATACTCGAGAAAACGGACATCACCCACATACCTGTCTAGGCCATTGGCTCCGTCGAGTCGCGCGTACGCATAATGTGCGTTTACCTACGTGGAGATGCACACGTGCACTTTGTGTGAGAAGCGGTGATTTTTTTCGGAATATTTAGACTACACAATATGCGCCCAATAAGCCATGAATTTAATAATAATTGTTTACTAATTTATATTAATTTTATATTAGTTTTATATTAATTTTATATTAAATAATTTTATATATATATATATAATAATTAAATTTAAATAACTACATCTAACATATGTTATATTAAATGTAGATATGCGTTTGTTTGATATGTCGGCTGTTTCAAAATTGCCTTAAGAAACGACTAAATGTAATAGACAATTTACTCTAGTATTTTACTCTATATGTCGGCTATTGCACGCGTCATTGATCGCTCTGAATGAGAGGAAATCGACTGTGCTGATAACAGGTCACGTTTTACAACTTTTTTGTTCCTAAAACCTCCTCCCGAAGTTTCCGAAATTCCCGGAAAATCCGCAAATTCTTTGTGTGACGAACGAGTAGAATAAAAGCGAGTGTAGAGAAACTGTGGAAGCTAAATTGCGAAACAAGAAATACTTGTGCGGTGTAATTATTAATTTTCAATCTTTATAAAATCAAATAATTTTTTTACAAAGTATTTCACGAAAGAGAAGAGAATGCGATTGTCATATTAGGGTGATAAAGTATTTCGTAAAATATTTTTTTATAAATATTTTTTTCAACGCTTAAGAAGACGCGCACGTTTTTCATGCTCATTTTCAAATATAGTACATTCAGTGTGTAGCCGTACAAAAGACATATTCGACATTGAAAACATTCGACTTCGAATGTTTGCGAGCACTTGCCGGGCGTTCGTTGCATTGTGAGTTTAACAGTAAATCTGTCACGCCACTCATCGCTCGCGTTCCAGAATCCGTCTTTAATACTGCATCAAGAAAGACGTCATCTCTCGAATGCAGTTCTTCGTGGTTTTGAGAAACTTTGCGTTTCACGGGGCTTTGCGTGCAACCAAAATTGACTCGGCGCAACAGGATTTTACGTGGAAAACGAGGGCGTCGTGAATGTTTTCTTACGCAACGGGACAGAATTCAACATTTTTGGAAAAGGACCAAATATATGTAATTATAAAGAATGACTGAAGATGGGAAGAGAGATGTTGAAAATATCGAGGTTGAACAGCCACGGTGAGAAATTGTCATCACCCACATGCTTGGCACGTCTCGGTGAGATCTTCCGCGGACTCGCTTTGCCATACAAGATCGAGAGCACAGATCTCCATCCTGATTCTCTTGTGAGTAAGATTAATTTGACGTCGTATCGGCAAGCCTCTCGCATTTACGATTTTGGACGATGATGGATGTGCATAAAGTGATGCTTGCGAGATATGATTATTGCTTCGAGAAGATTTTTAGGACATGACTTATTCTTGTATTATGCATAGCTTTCACCGCGCATGTTATTACCTTCCGATATATGTCGTCTTTGTGATTTTGCAAAAATGCGAGTGGTAACGAAGATATGAAATTATTGATTTTTTTTCAAGCACAAATAGTGCTGTATTAAACTACATGACTCCTACGAACATGAACGTTCGCAGAGGAGTTTTGCTGTCTTTTTGAATAAACACTGGAATTTATTTGCATATTTAATATAAAAAAATAAAAATAAAATTTTTTTAAATTAAGAAGAAATTTAATTATGTTCTCCTCCTCTTGGAAAAAATCCTGCGGACGTTCATGTCTACGAGGCAGGTGTTGATGGATACCTTTAAAATAACACACAAGATTTTGTTAAATGCAATTACCTAATTTCTCGACGTCTCATATCGACTTTACGATCTTTTTTCCAAGATTCGATCGTAAGATCGTGCTTGATAGTCACCGTAATAAGAAGCGGAAGATACAAAGTGCGCGTGTACTTCTAGAAGAGAGTGACGGAAAAGAAAAAGAGAAAGGGAACCTGAGAGAGAAAGAGGACGAAATCTGGAGAGATGATGATTGGGGGCAAACCCGGGGCATTACCATTTAAGGTACCTCGTATATATTCCTTTTTTTATTCCGCGTGTCACTTTGGCACGCATAATCGCGTAACACTTTGCGCGCCGCTATCCACCCGTTAAAGACGCTTCTTCTATTTGCGATATATTTTTATTGTCTTTATTTTTGGGTGGGAGAGAGGAAAGATTTCTCGAGCCAAATGACACAAACTAGGCGAGCAACGTTCGTAAAGTAGCTTCGTCGTTTCATTATGCATGGATTATTTAGCAGACGATCGACAAAGTTTAAATTTTACCCACAAAATACGATTATTTCGTTTTATCATTTCATGTTTATCATTAAAATATACGTTTTTCAATAATCAATTTTTTTAAATTATGCAAATGTTATTCATGAGATGGAAAAGAGAGGATATTTCTGTCATCTTGTTTGATTATGTTCTTGTTAGACATTTCAAGCGATTATTAACTACAAATATAAGAATCGATGCTGCACGCTTTCAATCTTACACTGAAATATTTGATATTCAAAACAAGAAGAATTGGAATATAAAAGGTCGGCGACATTTCATTGCAATTTTATTCGAAGATTTAAAGAGCAAGAAGCGTTTTAACAACAGGTAATAGAAATGAGCACACTCTTTCACGATTCTGGCACAAAATTGACAATTATCTCACATCGACAGACTTAATCCCGAAATTGGTAATTATGAGAGCGTGTGGACGTTTTCTTTGGATGGACTTCAGGTGTATAATTCTCATGAAAATTTCAATGAACATGCCGATACGTTCTAACGGAGGATTGCGGTGCGGAAGCAAGAGACCGAGTACAACAGTCGACAATTCTACGAGGTAAACGAAAGGATCGATTTCTAATTATTGACTTGCTGGGAAGCTCACGCGACTGTAGTTAAAGAAAACTTAAGTTCGTTTTATTGCGCGCTCGCGAGCCCTGTTAAAAAAAATTGCTCGAGAGTTACGAGAAGGTTCGTTCACTTTAATACGTCACAGTGCTCTCTAATTGTGCAGTCGTACATGAGAAAAATGATTAATACAATTATTACATCAAACAAATGGGTTAATTAATGTTTTATGGAAAGATATCGCTGTGATCGCGTTCGCTTTACATATATTTCCTTTGAACGATTTGAATAATAGGTACGTTTAATTATTACACTCTAAAAGAGAAATATGTAAAATACATGATATATGTAAATTACATAAATAATAGTTATGTAATTTTTCATATTTTTGTGTAATATATTGTATTTTTTTGACAGTGTAGGCTGTAGACAAACAATTTTGATCTACATGAAATACAAAATATTACTATGACTAAGACACGGCGATAATTACTACTTCTAAATAAAGATAAATATAAGGGTAAATAAGATAACAATCATATATCTTTATTTACAAGATCATAATATACAATAAATAGTATCAGAAAGTATGTTGGAAAAAAATCAGAAATTGCATTATATTTTGATTAACGTGACAGGGAGTTTCTAGGAACCCACCGTGTTTATTAAAGGAAGATTAAAGGGGAATATAATAAACGAGAGAGAAGGACTCGCTAACGAGATTTGGGTTTCTACCTGTCACATCTTTCGTTTTTTCGATCTTTTGGATTTAATGGTAAACTAAATGCTGGCTAAATCTGACTTCTAACAATGTGAGAGGTTCTAGGTTTTCTACGAAATGCTGTCACTCATTTGAACCGATAATCATTACGATTGCCCATATCGCTGCCCAAATTTAATTAAAGATAGGTCTCCCAGAAAAAGGTTCGAAGAGTTGTTAAATGCGGAAGAATAAATAGAATTTATATAATATCTTAGTAAATTGCCAAGAAACAGAAGTATTCGCAATGAATTTTATTCAAAGGAAATTAAATTTGTAATCATTTAATTTCCTTCTCGAAAACTTTATCCGGTATTACAGGTAATTAAAAATGCAATTGGTTGCAGAGAGTAAATATGATTCGAATGTAATTAATTTAATTTTGAAGTTTGAGTAAGAGAGAGAAAGCGGTTGATTGCTCTTATTCATTC